AAAAACAGGGCAGTTCACCAAAAAAAAAAAGAAAAAAAAAAAGAAAAAAGATTTTCCTCTGTGTATAGGCCTCACTCCATACAGGTCAGTAGAGCTAATCCCAGTGGGACCTATAGGCAGTAATGGATGAACTCCACTTCCCCTGCCTCTCACTAAGGGTGTTGGATGTTAGGTTCATTGGAAGGTAACCTTTTAATTGCATGAAACCCTGCCTGTCATCTGCACTCAAGATCAGAGATTGAAAGGGCTGAGGTTGCTGCTGTTTGGGCTCTCCTGCTGTCAGAGGCTAGTTGAGTAGCTATCCCAGTTCTTCAAAGCCAAGTGTCTGGGCTGAAAACCAGCTTTCCACCCCTTTCCAAGCCAGATCAGCCAAATCAATTCCAAATCCGTGAGTCAGTCCAGAACCATAAGTGCTGGCAAACATCCTCCATTCCCATCTGGGGCTTCAGATGATCCTTTGGCAGGCATCCTACATGCAGGCCCAAGCCCAGAGGCTTAGGGTTTAGATGCCCCTGAGTTTTTTTGCTTGCCTTCAGCTGTATGGCTGCAGGAGCAAGCTAGAGAGGAGTCTCCCATTTCCATAAAGTGGGTATAAAGGCAAGATCTCCACACTCCAGCAGCTAAGTGGGAGGTTAACTATACATTACCTTGGCGGGTACTACCCCTGTGCCAGGAGAGCAGTCATCCCTGGGTGTTACTAGGAAAACTGCCTCAGTGGTCACTGTGTTTCCCCTGCTAGGCTGAGAACCAACTATGCTAGGAAACACCTATTTCTTTCTTGGCTCTCATAAAGCACCTCACGGAAGGGGAGAAGGTTTCTGCATGTGGATCCAGGCTCTCCATAGGGGTCTGTGCGAATCAAGGGTTTCTTTGATCCTGTACTTGTGAGATTTGGAAGGGAAAATCCCGTCAACAATTCCTTCTTTCCATCTCAGAGAAGGAATTTATATTTAGTCATTTATCTTCCCTGTGGCCTAATGCCCATAATCCCCTCCCTTTGTATCCTCCCACAGAGCAGATGAGAGGTGGAGAAATCTGAGCAGCTGACGTGCAGGCCGCCCAGGATTAGGTAGCTGTATGCAATCCTCTGACTTCCCCGGGGAGACTTTGAGGAAGCTGATGGGACTGGGAGAGGTCTCCTTCATAAGAGGGAGTTTGGGGTATTCCTTATGCCCCCTGATTCCTTCCTGTGGCAGGAGGTGGTGACAGCTCATGGGATCTCTAAGCTGCTGCTAAAGGCACTGCATTAAAAAAGTGTTTGTGTGTGACACCAATGTGAACCTCAAGCCAGACTCCTAAAGGCGCATCTTTACAAGCAGTATTTACAGAGCCAGATTCCCAGCGGGTGGCAGGGCAACACTGCTCCGCTCGGGTCAATGGGGCTGCGATGTGCAGCCCAGGATCTGGCTTAAGTTGAACGTTGATGCTTCATTGTTCATGACACTCTTCAGCTCTAAACCAAATCCAACTCTGTCCCAGCTGTACACACACCCCTATGCTGGTGTATGTTGTCACCGCACTATTGGACAAATGGCAGCCTCCCCACCCACACCTTTTTGTTCTGTAGAGAGCAGAGTTAAACGGCATAAAGCAAGAACAGCATTGTTGGCCCAAAGCAGTACAGGTGTTGTTAAAATGTTTGGGGTGAATACAATAGAACATTTATCATCTTTTAAGTAAAAAAGTATAGCTGTGGCCAGGTAAGCACTACTGTATTTCCTGCCAAACCAGTTGTCTCTGAATGTGTGTCTACCATATTTTATCACCTACAACACCCCCCCAATAGAATATACCCCCCCACCTTTTTTTTTTTTTGAAAGGCAAAATAAAGAAGAAAAGATTTTTTTTTCTGTATTATGGCTGTATAGAGCAGGGACTGAGCCTAATCTTCAGCTGACCTATCTTCCCTTTCCTGTTTAACTAAAAGCTGAAACCCTAGGTGCTTCTGAAGGCCGGTTTCTATGGGTAGATTTTGAAAAAAAGCTAGTCTCCAGGGCTGTGAAACAGGAGATGAGAGACCAAGAGCAGCTAGCAGACAACAAAATTGCCCTAAAATATCTTAGCTTAATTAGTGGGATATTAAGACCATTAAAAAGGACAGATGATTTTTCACACCTCTGAAGTATAGAACAATGAGCCATTAAATGAATAGACTCCTTTCCCTGCCTGAATAGTAATGCAACAGCTGCTGCAGTGTGGGGCAGGAATCAAAGCACGATGCTTCTGTCCCAGTCAGACGATCAGCTTTTCCACTTAAAATGCATGCTCTGACTGGGAGGTAGGAGGGTTGATTTTTGGGGACAAAAGATGTGTGTTGTATTTAAGAAAATACTGTATAGTTGTAGTAGCACTGAGGTGAATTATTGCTAAAGAGCCGGCAGGGGGAGCAGAAACATTGTATCATCATTGTGGTAGTTTTTACAGCAAATAGAAGTCAGAGGACTCTCACTGTCTGACTTTGTATTACAGTTTTTAAAGGCAGGACAGATTTAAGGCCTAAAACCTCAGCAAAGCACCTGTCTCAATTTTGTCATGGTAGGAGCAGGGTCTTGCAGAGAGGGTGGTTGTTCCTCTGAGCCCAGCTGTTTGATTTGTTTAGTGATGGATTATTCTAGGCCGGCTCTTCTGACTCTCGCTTTATTTTGGTAGGAAGAAGCTGACACTACTGAAGGAGATGCTGGCTGGCTGCGGGGCAGGCACCTGCCAGGTGATTGTCACCACTCCCATGGAGATGCTCAAAATCCAGCTACAGGATGCAGGCCGAATTGGTACCTTGCACATCTCTTCTCTCCTTACACAACAGGCGGGCAGTGGGGAAGATTCATAGAGGAGCAGGGAGAGTAGGGCTGTGGGAGAAAAGGAAGCAGATACTATTTCCCATGTACTCAGAGGTGCCTCAAGGTGTGGTAGAGCTTTCCTCATTGTCTTCCTACCTCTCTCCCCTTGGCTGGTCTGGTAAAGCTTCATCTTAGTGACAGCAGGCACTTCTCACTGCCTGTACTTGCACCACGCAGTGACCCTGTGAATGGCATCACAGTTGCTGCACGTGGAGGGGAGAAAGGCAGCAGGGAGGACGGTGTTCAGCCTGTAAATTATTAAAGCTCATTATCTAATGCACACAGGAGAAGGGATTAATGTTCCCTTAATTCATTTCCTGTGACAGTTTCCCTTGTCTCTTCCCCCACCCCCACCTAGCACATTGCAACTGTAATGTCTTCTGAAAGGTATGTTGTACTGTCAAAAGCCCTGTCTTGTTTCTGCACTGCCTGCAACCACTCTCACTTCCTGGCAAGAAATGTGTTTTTTTAGTTTGTTCTGAGCAATGAATGAAGCTCCCCAAGTGATGGCAGATGGGGCAAGATTGTTTCGGTATAGCACGAGCATGATGCTTTATGCAGGCCTGTCCATGCTGTTGCCCCACTTCCTCCAAGCCTTGCTGGTTTTCGGTTTCCTCTGTAGTCTCATGGGGAATTCTCCAGCTCACGAGGCTGAGAGGAAATTTCAGGCTTTCCCTCATGAGAGTGAAATGAGTGATTAACCTAAGCAGCCTTGAACGGCTTGTGGTCAGAGTTTATGTAATCAACTTGCATCATAGACACAGACCAAAAAAAAAAAAGAAAAAGCCCAGGCCGCATAGCCATGGAAAGAAATATGGTCACTGCAGGTAGCTGGTGTTGGTCTATACTATAAAATGTATCTACAGTTTGGCACAGTGGGCATTCTTTGGACAGAGGAGAGGCCTAGATAGAGTCAAACTATTGAGAAATGCTGCAGGTAGGGTCAGAGGTAGAACTGTGGGGGAGTCGAGGGCTTGGACAGAAAGGGAGTCGCAAGCCAGGACTGAAATAAATTGGTAGGGAAGGGAGTTGGAACAAGGGGAAAGTCATGTTGTAAACCATATGAGCTACAAACTGACAGCTGTCAGTTCTGCACCAGTAGTCTGCCATGTGTTTGGCCTGGTGTCTTCACAAAATGAAATTAAATTGAGATAATTGCCCAGCATAAAACCCAGGGACAAGAAAAGGCTTGATATATAGCCTAAATCTCTCCTAGAGTCCAACCAGAGACACCTGTCTGGTTCCTATAGTTTCCTAAATCATGCCCATGAGCTAGGGTGTTAATAGTACCATCGGAAACCACTCTGCTAATAAACTTGTATGTTTGTTTATCTCTCTCTAATTCTTTAGTCGCAGAGTCTATCTTTTTTTTTTTCTTTCCCTGCTTAAGACCTCTTCTTTGCTAATTTTAATGTGAGCCTTATCTTCTTTGTATGTGTGTTTTAAACTGTATGAAGAAATGAAACCCCGGTTTTTAGGCTCAAAACCCAAATTTCTGCTATTGCAGTTGGTGAAGACCTGTTCTCTCTGTGTTGTCCAAAGAATACAACCCAGCTATTGACAGTGCTCCACCTTCTGGCTAAATGGTAGAACTACACTAGGGTGTGACAGGAGTAATGGGAGAAAGTATAATAATGCCTAGAGATCTGAAGTACTCTAAAACTCAAACTGAAGATCATCCCTCTGCCCCTTTGCAATAACAGTATTGTGCATGGAAACAAATTTTGGAATAGAAGGGATGATCTTTCCCTGTTTTTGGGATGATTCTGGTGTCCTTCCCTGCTGAACACCTGTGTCCTCATAGGGTTTAAAGACACAACTGTAAATGAGTCTCTTGTTCCTGGCGTAGTTATAAGGGTGACTTCTCCACACCCATGAAGTCCTGCATGATTGACTGTCTCTACCCCAGAGAAACTCAGGAGTGGAACGGTAAGGAAGGGTGAAGCTACAGGTCGGGACTTGGGGCCATTAGCCAAGTCAGGTTTGAGCTCAGGACTGGGAAAAGGGTGCTGCACGCGAGGACAGAGGAATATTTGCAGAGCGGAGTTGAGAGCTTGCAGGACACGTGGCTGCTTTTGGCTGATGCTGTCAGTCTCTTCCTGTCACAAGCATCCAGTTCACACTATAAAGGTCTCTTCCTTTCTGAAACAAGCACCGCTGTCCGTTGCCCATGGGCAGCACCATTACTGTGCACTGTGTTTTCTATAGTAGGCATTTGTCATTAATGCTCCAACTTCCATGCAGCTGCTCAGAAGAAGCTAATGGCACCACAGGCCCAGATATCTTCTTCCACTGGGGCAGCAGAGTCTGTTGTTGAGAGACGGACCACAGCAACCCAAATCACCCGGGAGCTACTTCGAAGCAAAGGCATTGCAGGACTTTACAAGGGCCTTGGGGCCACGCTGCTAAGGTAAGACGGTGCTCACTGAGCACAGCAGGCATCTTCACCTGTAAACCCCATTTTAAGAGACTAAAGTAGCAACATTGGGTGCAGTCCCTTCCAGTAGTGCTGCTGTCATACCTGGGGCTACTTACCAGGTGGTGCTGCCTTCTGAATCATTGTCAGACACAAGCATCAAGGAGATGCCAGTGTCTGTGGGAAGAGAATCATGATTCTGGAGTCAGAAAGAATGGGGTCAGCGAGAGGAGAATTGGGTCTGTAGTGCTTTTGTGTGGGATGGAGAGAGAAAGTTTAGAATGCCAGGTGGCTTCCCCTTGCACGTCTGTAGGGGTTCTTGTGTAGGGGTTTTTACCTTGCACCCATGACTGGCTGCCTTCCAGTAGCTCCCTGGGGAGCATGACTAACACCTCTTATATGGTGCATGTTCTCCCTCTGGAGAGAAGGCAACAGAAGTGTGTGGCATACAGCATCTGGGTTGGTTGGGTGTTGCATTGGATTCTTATTTTGCATGGGAGGATAGAGGGTGGGTTCTTGTCATATGCCCATTGCTTTCTCTAGCCAATGGAGCAAGGTCAAAAAAAGCTATGTTGCACTGAAGGGAGCAAGGCTGGCAATAGCCTCAGTTCATGGTTTGTTTCATCATCTCAGAGTGGCTTTTGGGAATATTCTGTCTCCCTCACAGATGAGCTGTGTCCAATCTTGGACAGTTTCCTTGTGCCCAAGGAGCACAAATATCAACCAGAGTCGTCTTGCCCTAGAGCTTGAGGCAGTCTCTTTAGATATCATGGCTCCAGGTCACAGAGGGCCTTCAAGATGAGGCCTAAAACCTTGAATAGGGTATATTATGTGGGAAGCTAGTATCAATAAGGACTCTTATCTAGGCTCTTTTGTTTTCAGGTGACTGATTCTCCAGTAAAACAATAGTAATAACAACACCTCAGAAGTAACGGGGAGGGGAGATGGAATGCAACCCACTTAATTAAAAATGGATAAAAGTCTATAACTGTGAACACCCTCGGTCAGATCCTCAGCTGGTGTCAGTCTCAAGGTTCATCAACTTCAGCTGAGCTCTGAGTGTCACTGGCTGAGGATCTGAGCCCCTGGCTTCACCTATAGGATCTAGAAGCTGTAGATGGAACATCCTTCTCAGCTTCCCCCTTGCACATCATGTCTGTAGCTGGGAAAAGGGGGATACCTGGAGCCTTGCTTGACTTACAAAGTTTGTTGCCCTTTCTCCTCTGAACTGGCAGATTGGTGCCAGGTTGTGGCTCTGTTTCTCACTCTTCTGATTCCCCACAGAGATGTCCCATTCTCCATTGTTTACTTTCCACTGTTTGCAAACCTGAACAAGCTGGGCCAGAAGACCCCAGACATCAAGGCTCCATTCTACGTGTCCTTTCTTTCTGGCTGCCTAGCAGGCAGCACAGCAGCAGTGGCTGTCAACCCTTGTGATGGTGAGTCCTGGGTGATCAGTGCTGTTGGTCTTAAGGGCAGTGACAAGGAGCTGCTCTCTTTTTTTTTTTTTTTTTTTACAAAGAGCAAAGCTGTCTGGGAGAACCCCCTCCCTTTATAGGGAGCTGGTAAAGTAGATTGAGGCAGCAGAAGAGGTGTGGTGTTGCCAGAGGGAGGTGGGGGGAGGTGACTGGGACAGATTTGATTTTTTTGGATGCCTCAATGTTTAGGTGCCTATTTGTAGATTCTTTAGAAGGCTGAGTTTTCAGAAAATGCTGAATTTCTCAGAATCTGATGCTCTTAATATGTTTGAAGTTAGGATACCTATAAATAAGCAGGCACTTAATCTGCACCAGTTCTGAAAATTTTGTCAGGTCTGGAGTTGCCTATCTCTTATTTACACTCATTAGTGTAGTTTAATTTCTGGTCCTTGATCCGAGTCCCTTGGTCACTCTTAGCTATTAAAGTTGCTGAGCAGTGTGCAAAGTATTTGATGAGAGCACTGGTGAAGGGAAAAGCACTGTATATAACTAGAGTTGTTTAAAGCACCTCTTTCCTCTCTTTCTTTTTCCTTAGTAATCAAGACAAGACTGCAGTCCTTGCAGAGAGGAGTCAATGAGGACACATACTCAGGAATCCTAGACTGTGCTAGGTAAAAGCTCTTCACAGTGCTTACCAGCTGATCAAATGGCAAGGTCTAGTGGCCTGCTTCCAGGCCAGGAGCATGGTTTGCAGCATGATGGGACTGCTTCTGAACTGTGTCTTATCTTAACATCTCAAAGTGTACACTCCTTAGATAAGGGTAGTGGGATTAATGTCCCCTTCAACTGACATCTCCAGCCCATGTGCCCTGAAAAGAAGTAGGGAATTAGAAAAAAGTCCAGAACCCAATCATGTCCATACAGAGTTCTTGCCCCAGAAAGGAAGGTGTGCCAGACAATCCATGAAGGTTACCAAGGAATTTGCTCTCTGGTAGTGCGTGGAAGGTGGTACAGGGAGGAGCATCAATGTGAAACCCTCAGGGACAGAGTGCGGTGTTGGGGGGTTTCTGGTGGCCAGCAGCTATCAGCTTCTCTGCAACCCCATCTAGCCTGATAGAATCCACAGAGGAGTCTTTGAAATCATAAGAAATGTAAAGCCATGTGCAGTATTCCTTCCCAAAAATGATAGGTCCTGTTGTGATAGACTGGACTTTGGACCTGAAAACAGCCTTAACCCATACCTGGGGATGAGATGCTGGATCTATTATAGTTTCATAGTTTGTAGGGTCAGAAGGGACCTGAGTAGATCATCTAGTCCGACCCCCTGCCATGGCAGGAAAGAGTACTGGGGTCAAACGACCCCAGCAAGGTGTTCATCCAGCCTCCTTTTAAAGACCCCCAGGGTAGGAGCCAGCACCACTTCTCTT